GTAAAGAAACAAATATAAGGATACCAGCAATCAAAGATAGCAATAACCAGCTAATAACAGATCCAACGGATAAAGCAAAGTTTTTCATCATTACATACGACATCTGTGTTTACAAACGCCCGGCAGTGCACGCCGATGGAAAATTCTTAGTAAACGCCATTCAGACATTAATGAAAACTATTAGGAAAAATATAGCAACAATAGACGCATTAAATCATAGTCCGACGATGTACCAGGGAGATACTGGAAGTGGGGCAAATCATTGGCTTATATCACGCGATCTGTTTTAATGTCCATAAACACACGGATTATCTTCCTGACTCCGACGAAAAGACCATAGTTTTCCAATACTCAAGGAAACGCTCTGATGTCCCCGGAAACTCCCACCGATTAGTCTAACTTCGGTAGTAGGTAACAAATTAAAAAAATTATGCAGAATAATGGAGAAGCGTTGGAAAAACAGCGATGTTGACGCACGCGGCAACATGGGTTCAGCAAGGCCATCTCTTAGCGAAGCCAACTTTAAACAGTTTGCCAAGACATTTCCAATCTTAACGCAGGGGAAACAATAGACGCGTGGTAGTAATAGATTTTACAAAGCATCGACTCAGTTGCCGTGTGAGCGATACTTAAATAAACTCGAACATACAGGGAATTGATACAAGGAGTAATCACTTTGGGATCGAATCATTCCTTACAGCGTCCGCTACCAGAGATGTAAGATAATGATTATCTTCCTGATGAATTCAAGAGTACTCATAGTTGCTCAGTGAAGCGTGCTATGTCCCCTTCTATTCTAGCATACTTAATGACCATTCCGATTCTAATTCATTCCAATGATTAGAGCTCTCGCAGATGATTGCATAACTATACTCGAGAATACATGGACGTGCGAAATCGGCAGATTTTTGCAAAGGTTCTCATAACAAATTATGAAATGCTGATGAAACATCTAATCCTAAGAAAGCAAACGGTTAACCTTCAGTAGGAAATAACAAAATCACAAAATTTCACACTTGCAGATTCAATTGTGCCTGAATAGTACTTTAAGTAATCTGGGGGTAATTATTCTACGACCTAACTGGTCGATCGACACATCACTTGCGCGCAAAGTGGAAATCACTCCATTTTTAATCGATATTGAGGAAAGTACCGAACACAAAGCGTAGGGTTATCTGTCCTTGTCGTCCGGTGATGGAGATTAGCTCCGGTTTGGACCCGTATAGCTGGGCAGATAAATTGTTAACCGTATCAAATAGAGCTATTAAAAACGTGTTGAAAAAACATTGATAAATGAATGTGGGAACTTAGGCAAACGTCGAAAGATCGCTGTACTAGTAAACATTCTCAAACGTACACCACTGGCAGTAACGTTAATCCACATTCGAACTAGAACGGCAGCCTCATATTCTTCGAAGAGGAGATCCATCCTACAAATCAAAATTTAGGAATCAAAAACCGACGTAGGAAAATACTCTTTGTCAACGGTAATAACGGACTGGAACAATTACCTGCTGCAGTACTGGCGACTTTGTCCCTCATGATGCGTGCTTCCGGAAACGCCTAGAGCAATGCGTTGATCGCCAATAACTGTGCATTAGTTTTATGGTGTTTTTAACATTAGCTTGTACTTTCATATTCTATGCATTCCATATGTACTGTAACTTAATCTCTGTATATCCATAAAACTTCATCGCACCGGACGAATGCTCATTAGCAGAAAATAAAATATTATTATTATTATTATTATTATTATTATTATTATTATTATAACCAAGTTGTGTGCGGCAATGAGTCTGTGGCAAGAAGAGGCGGGAGATGCCAAAGGTGTTTTAGTTTCCCTACTTCTTTTCTAAAAATTGGACACCCTCGGTACAAAGATGACAAACGTCGATTTTACTTTCTCGCATTACTTCGCAAAACGAGACAGTATTGTATTGCGGAAATCGGCGAATTTCCTATAGAAAATTTTTTTGCCGGGCCCTGGTAACGAGAAAGTGGATAAACGTTGTTCCTATACTATGTAGAAAATTATTACCTCTAACACGCTTTATATCCATGTTTTGTGGGTCCTTGATGTGGTCGATTGACGGCAAAACGTGTCTGTATGTAGTCAACGATACTGCCTAAACCGTTCAGACAATTTTCTGCAAAATAGATATTCTTCAATCGATCTGAATGAACACAAGTCCTGCGAGTTTATTTTGATTTTTTTTGAGAGGGGGGACTACTTCACATCTAGCCTCGAAAACATTCTAAAAATCTTCTCAAAAATGACTTCAAATTTTTTTATTAAACTTTGTCATCCAGTAGCGTAAGGCATTCTTAAAACAATAACCCGTCTCATACTAATTTTTCGTCATCGCTTAGTTTTCGAAAATCGCAAAAGTTCAATATTCTTTGGAGTCTTCCTACAACTACAATATTGAAGATAACAATTATTAACTGGATAAAATATGTTCAAACACAAATTTTGAAATAAGACCATATTTTTTCGAAAATGTGAGTAGATTTTCTGTAATTTTGTGTGAGATTTTGTAATATACGCACTTCTTAAACAATTATTTTCTCAAAAACCGCTACAACATTTTTCTTTACATTTTCTCTTCTTAAGTATCTCAGGGTGGAAAAAAATTGGAGCTAGTCCCACACTCTGTAATCTCTCTATTTTTGAAAATTTCAAAAATCTGACTTTGCAAAAATACAATGTTGTGGAGAGGGGGATTTTTTCTTAACTGAAATCTGTTTCTGAAAAATCAGATCTTTTAAGAAAGCCATGTAAAATTTTTTAAGACCAGTTTTTGTTAATGACCTGTTTTGTAAACGCAATTTATAAAAACATTTTTCCAAGAACAGCTCCAATTTGGTTCTCTAAAGTTTTCCATGAATAGAGTAAATGACAGTTAAAAAATGCCATTAGTCCGAGTTTTGCTGTAATCCCTTAATTTTTGAAAATCACAGAAGTTAAAAATAATGTGAAATGTATATGCTGTAGAAGCACAACTAATTTGCTTTGAAGCATTATAAGTTTAACAACGATTTTTTTGAGGTCTTCAGTGGCCAATTATTAAAGGTACTATCATCTTTGTAAATTGCAGTCCAAAAATCTAAACATTTTCCTGGCATTCTTAACTGCAAATTAATACAGATTGTTCTACACTTTTGCAATTATGAAAACAACCAACCAAAAATAATCTTTTGACTTAGCTCTCAAAAAAAAAAAAAAAAAGATATGAAAAATTGCACGATTTGTGTGAATGTGTTAGAAAAGCGCAACTTCGTGTAAGCCACCTAGAATTTGTGGACAATCAAGACTTAATTTGTGTAAAAGCCAAGTCCAAATATTATGTATCTCACAAAATCAAACTGATCACTTCGGGCACCAGAGTTATCAAATCATATGCACTAATTGTTCTACCCCAGACTAATGCCCCAAATATTTCTTAAAATGTCAGAAGCAAAAGATATTCGAAAATAAAAATTTGGTTCAAAAATTTGTATTTTTTATCAGAATCAGTAGATACAACTTATAGACCAAAAGAACTGCATTGTCATATTTTGTTAGAAAATGAATTCTTTTATACATAAACATTTAACTCTTCAAATCTCGAACTTTAAACTATAAGTAAAACATTTTCAAGAAAAGTCAGTGTTCTTGATTTCATTAAAAAATTCGTTTTGATGGGCCTTTCCATATATGAGATGAAAGGGTATGCAGATCCAAATCTTTTAATCTCTCTACATTTATTTTTATTATCATATCACATTTTAGCATTATTGTTGAGATCAATATTTACTTTAAATCATTATCAAAATGAAAAGGCACTGATTTGATGAATAAATATATGTAAGAGAACAGTGCTTCTTTACACAAAGCTGTGAAAGAAATACCCTGTGAGAACTTCAACGAATTGAAGGAAAGCAAATAGCACCCTAAATAACAAACAAGACACAAATCTCAGTATCCGCACAATACAACCAATACATTAGTAATAATAGAAGTACATACTAGTAATAATAGAAGGTATTGATACAATCCAAAACTTACTAGTGCTCTGGGAAACCCTTATGCATACACAAGAACATTCTACTGACCAAACACTTTCCCGAAACAAGTTGTGGCGTCATTCTGAATATGTCTAATGAAAATGAGTGAACATGTCCATTGAAAATGAATGATATTAAGGTTACACAATTTTTGGTAAATCAGTTCAGTTGATTCTAAAATGGAATAAGAATTTAAATGAATTGAACCCAAAATTAAGTTCATTATGCCATGCCTTCAGTTCAGTCAGCTAGCATACTGCTTGTTTAGTATAATTTGCGATTATTCATTTCTGACTGAAATGTGGCATAATATTCTGGGGAAATGCAGGTGCCCACATTATTTATATTATATTAGAGTTTTTATAATATGGAAAAGAATTGTATGAATAATAAGGAAACCCTACCCATGTGATTCTTGTCTCTTTAATACCAGTGAATTCTACCATTGCATTCTCTATTGATTTACAAATTGCTTTTTTGTTGCTTTTTCAGTCAAAATTGACTCACTCAAGAGTGGAATTTTCAACCTACACAGATGTCTATAAAAATTACACTTGATGTCATAATCATATTCAACAGGTGTCAGTATCAAAAGCTCACTACAAGAAATTCACATACAATAAATGTATATTATTTTGCAACACATTGTCAGATTATATTAAACGATTAAAATTCAAACACAAATTTATGTGCCAAGTAAATTTTTCTCTGCTGCATAACTGTTTCTATACAATTTGTGACTATACTCAGCATGAAGGGGCCCATGAAGGAATTTCATTTCTTTTAACTTAAATAATTGAGGGAAAATACTTTGAGGTCATTGAATGACAAACTAAAAATTTTAAAAATATTCATTTTTTGGAAGCTCAGTACCATAGTGATATGTTTTTAAATTTAAATAAAAAATTGTTTGAAATTATGTTTTTTTTTCTTTTTGTTGGTGTGTGTTTCAGAGCTCTCCAGGATACGAGTTCTTCAATTTACCACAAGCCTAAACTACAAATGCAAGTTTTACATAACAACTAATAAAGATTTGAAACACAAACATCATGAGAATATCCACAAATATCACTTTTCGAACAAAATACTATCACCTAAATTTTTTTTTTCCCCATCTTACCTGATTGATAAAAGAACACACTAAAAATATCCCTAAATTTAAAACTGAATTATCAGAGAACTAGCTATTACAAATAATTTATTTATTTATATCATGTAAAAGTAATAAAAAAAATTTAAGGTCACTTGGTTCTGTAGGAGAGAAGCTACCAAAACATAATGAACCTTCATCAATGGATTTACGCAAATATTATTTGAAATATTTATATATGTTAAATTTTATAAGTGATTCTAAATTTCTCATGTACAAACGTATTCAATCTAGTGGTGCTACAACAGCACATACTTCCTCGCACTATTTCTAACTGCTCCACTCTACTGCAGTAAAACTTGCCAAATGCGGAATTGGATGGGACCAATATTTTTTTTCATATTAGACAAGATTCTGCATTATGCAATGTAAAACTGTAGAAATAACATTTGGCCGAACCACAATTTATGTTCACATTAGACAGATTTCTGCATTATACATGTTACACATTGAAAAAGTGTGACTGTACTACATAAACATACAAAAGTGTTTTCAAACAGTAAAAATTTTTTTTCACACTGAGACTCAAACTCAGGGCTTCAGAGTGAACTCGCTATTACCCATACCACTATGCCACAGAAAAGCTGAATGGTTTGAACTGGGGCCAATGCTTAAAAATTTAATTATTTCAACCCAGAATTTTTCCAATACACAAGTTTTGCAATTTCCAAACACTTGGAGGATTTGCTGAAAATGGAACTATCTCCATATTTTTTACCATCCTTTGTTACATACAAGGAGATATGAGAGATCTAATATTGTCATCTTAAATATATTTGCCCTAAAATTGAACCTATCCATATGGTTTTGTACTCACTGAATCTGAAAAATCAAATATGAACAATTGACTTCATGTCAAAGTGCCATTAATTTTAAAGCAATAATTGCTGTAAATTTTCCCAGATTAGAGAGACTGAAAATTATATACAGGTTGCCTCTAACACAAGCAATGAACAGTGGTGTAATTCAATATAACAATTTAAATATTTTTTCATATTTACATAAGCTAATATCTTGTGTTTGTATTTATTTTACATCATTGTATATTGTTGGAATTGCACAATGTTGAATTACAAAGAAGATTTTCAAAATTTTTTATTAAAAAATAAAATTAAATCATATTTCATTAGAAGCAGGAAAGCTATTACTAAACTATATTATATCAATATTTCAATAAAACACACAAATAGTGGGGTGTTCACAAATAGTGGCTTATTTTATAATTAAATTTTTTGATACAATAGGACATTAATGTTAGGCTTCTCTAGGTATTTTAACAATTCTTGATCACTCCTCAGAAATATAATTATCTACATTACTATTCTCTAGATAGTACAACTGTAAAGATTTTCACATTGAAAACAATGAAAATTTGCTGAAATATCATAACTAGGGGATGGATTTTAATGAAATGTCTTTTTTGTTTCTCTTTTCCCTTAGAACAATGCCTTTTCATATAGACATAAATTTTATGTTACAACAAAAGGAAATGACCAATTTTTATGACTTTTTTTGCATTTTTCATCAATTTCGAATAATAAGTCATCTTTTACCTTCTTCCATAATTTTGAAAGCCTTTTTCACTGATTTCATCAATTTTAATTTCATTTTAAAGATACTTGCTTTAAATAATATTTACAAGATGCAACAAATCTTCTCCACAGAAATCCTGAGTAGCCTGAGTAGTACAACTTACAAACTGTTTTTACAAATATCCCCTTGTTAAACAATCTCAGAGAAACATCAGTCAGCAATGTAGAAATCAACCCATTTCTTTACCCCTTACCACTATCCTGTTTAGTAAAATGTCATTAAAAACACATCATCTCTGAACAAAGGAATTATGGAATCCAGAAAGGAAATGATCACCTCTAAGCAAATTATACAAGACTGAAAACCTGTACATGATCCTTGTCTCCAAAAAAGAAGAGGGCAAGTTAGTCTTTTGAGAATTGAACATTCTACATTAATTGCCAAACATAAAATAGCAACATATTACAATTGCTCATTCTACTGTTTCATTTTCCCAATTTTAGTAATGAATACGAAAACAAATAACCAAACAACATTCAACTACTTTTGAATGTCAAAAATTATATATTAAATGAAATCTGTTTCCCTAGCAAACTGAAACTTGATAAACATTATTATCATATCTATTTGCGCTTATGTGCATATGTAGATTTCTTCTAACAATTACCATCAAGCTTGTGTACTTTAATAAATGAAGATGGGAAAAGTTCAAAATTACTTTTCACTTAAGACTAAACTGAAAATTCTCACATTTATAAATACGTTCCAATCTAATCCATTTATTATTATATGAACAGGAAGGAAATTAAAGAAACACTTATTATGAAACATGTTTGTAATATTTAACTTTATTATATACATAAATAAACCAGTATAAAATGATAAGTTATATACATGGTACAGATTATCATTGTCGTAGATTTGAAATTGGTTACCTGAGACAGAGTCAGTTTCTTAACTTTGTTGTTCTGTTATTACATTAATATAGAAGCTTTCATACCTCTTACACAGAAAGAGTAAACATTATAAAAATAAAACAGCTATTTTTATTCTGTGATTAAAGAGTAGCTCAGTTTTTGGATGTCTTTTAAATATTTACTTTCACATTCATCTTAGAATGTTACCAATGCAAATATGTTACTGTAGTTTCATTTATTGATTGCTCCATATAGTAATTTTTAAACACTACAAAAATTAGTCTTTTCTTTGGGATTTATGACAGTTAAAGTGCTGGTTAATGCAAGTTTTGATATTTAAATGGTTAATTCTCTTTGCCTCAAATTATGAGAGATCCATTAGAAAATTGCTACCCTCTCACGAAATGAACCCTTTTTTCTGACCTGTAGAGTTTGATAATTTGATTTAAGATAATTAACCACAATGCTAAGAGGCCTGCTTGTTGATTTCATATTTGTTGTCATTTTGATATTAATATTATGGAAACAATCTATAAATGTGTCAGAGAGTAATAATGTTTTCCATATGACATCAGATTTCAGTCATGTAGCAATCAACTTTGAAATTTATTATAAATACTTAATCACAGATGACAATAATGATAAATATGTGGAGCCTTTCCAATCAATTTTTCCAAACAACTGATTTTCTAGTTTAGAATCTTTGTCAGTTTAATAAACAATGTGAATAAAGAACAAATTAATTTACAGTAATAAGAATCATGTACAATGATCAGATAGGAGGGTAATGATTAATGTATCAAAACGCAAAATATAATTACTTTATTAAAAAGAAATTCAATAAATTATATTTATAAATGAACCTGATAGTAAGGTCTTAATTGTATAAAAATATTTTATTCCTACTCAGGATTTAAAAAATAGAAAACTCATGTACGATCATGAGCACATGTCATGGCTAGCTGCAACCATGTTCTCTTACTCACCTGCAAGTTTGTGCTTAGAATTATCTATTATTGGCAATTTTGCTTACTTTGGTCTTCATACTCATAATACACTTTTATTGAGAAATATTACAGAAAATTATAACTGTAAAAGTTCCAATCTTTTTATTATTTTTTAATGCCTTCCAAAGACATATTTTTATACTATTTTATATTTTTTGCATATGAGTATTTGACTTTGGTAATAATCATTTGGAACTCCTTTGTTTTGCAATACATAAATGGAAATTAATATAATAATAAGGAATATTTAAGGGTGAAATCTGCTGGACATAGAAATTGTATCAAATTCCTCTGTGCATCCCTTAATATACAAAATTTGTTTTAAAGGAATGTATAATGAACTATCACAGGAAACATATTTTACAGTAATAAAATTAATGCACAGATCTACATCTAACAAGTTCTTGTGTGACAAGAAAGGAAAGTGGTCATTGCTCTTATTAAAACAAATTCCCTTCTAGGCCATCAATGATGAGGATTCAATTATTTGTCAAGTGTCCTTAACATAATAATGTAATTTTTAACTTTATCGTCATTAGATCATTTAATTTACATTCATGCTCATGTTTTCTTACTAATGTTGATATTCTCATATTAATTTCAAAAGAAAATCTTAATAAACCCATTTGTTTTCAAATGATAAGGACTTATATTCTTTACAAGGTTATAAAATATCACTTCCATATTCATCTTATGGATGAATTTACATGAAATATTGATGAAAGTATTAGTTATCAGGTAATACACCTAATTATTGATAATTCAATAACTTTATCAAATACTTTAAAAGACATTTCTTGACTGCAATAATACAAGATGTTAATTACAATACCTCCCTTTTTGTATTATTCATGTGCCTTACAAACAACACAGATCAGAATGCAAAAACAATACTCAGTATCAAACAAAGTAGTACTGGCGTTTCTTGTACACTGTTATTTGAAGCTTCAGTATTTCATTGGAAGTTATAATGAGTAACATATATGTACAGAGTGAAGGAGTGCATGGAATGATGAATTATGTTCTCTTGGATGTATAATTAACCAGTGTAAGAGCCAAAATGTTTTTAAGGAAATAAGTAACATGCTGAAATTTTTGTCACATTGTAGGAAATTATTAAACAAGTAAATTTGATATAGCATCAGTCGCAAAATTAAATACATTTTTCCTTCCATAAAATTATTACCTGAAGTTTTCAAAATAACACTTTTTACATCAAAGGTAATATAACATATGAGGTAATCATAGCATGACATTGCATCTATACTGACTGAGAAAAAGTTATATTCCATTGATTAATTAATGAGTCTGTTGTATTAAAAGTCATGTAATACAATAATTCATAAGTTAAATTATCAAGAGAGAACAATCAAAACTGTGCATGCTGTTTCAAAATTTTAATAGAAGTAAAAAATATACTAAGAATGTTTTGGTCTTCAAAATTTTAACTTCTTAAAAACATATTTTTTTAAAATAAGTCGTGTTCAATTTTGTTGTCATGTCTCTTGAGACATATAACATTCAGAACAAATTGACAGCAATAGTTTCTACAGATAGTTCTGTGAAAAATTTATTTTGTATTGCAGATCTTTGTTTTGTTGGAAAAAAATATAACCGTTTCTTGTCACAAAAATATGACTATCCTAGAAAACATTTCCAAAATAAAGTACTTAATGTAATTAATATTTGTATTTTTCTTGAAATACCCACCTTGTGTGGCTCATGAAATTTCAATTTTTATTTTTGATTAGCAAATGAAACAATATTAAAAAACTAAGGTGCATTAAATTATTATATCTTATAAATAGTATTTCTACAGTAATTTCACTTGCTCTAATTATGTTAAATTTGTGTTTAATGAAAGTTTTAGAGCTCAAGCTCTTATTTCGTATCAAAGTTTTAAGAAAAGTTAGTAGATACGTTTTGGTTTTCATATTTTCACAACCAAAAAAAAAAAAAATACAATCAAATATCAACCCATTTTATGGTCTGTATTCAGATTATATTGTTCTCTGTACACTTATACTTATTTTCATTATTCATTAAAATGCCTAGGTGAATGTGATATTCAAGATTATTTCGATTGAAAACTGAACCACACAAGGGCTTTAAATAAACATACAATTACTTTAGTTGCTGAATCAGTTGTGTAGGAATTATTTCTCACATTTCAAATATGAGACTACCTCAGAGAATGTCAAAATGTATTTATAATCGTATAATCAATATCTTTTTTAACACTTCATAACTAGCGCTTTTAATGAAGGTCAAATTGAGAAAAAAGTGTTAGCACGTCTTGAAGACTCTCAAATAACTGTCTTGTTTCATTTATTCCTAATATTTGGATATGGGATTGTCACATGACTTTTTCCATTTTCGAATTAATCTTTTCTTAAAATTTTAGTATCTTTGTACCATATACAAATAAACTTAACACTACTTCAAAATTTTGCTGTTCTCTTTCACAATTCAGTAATGATTTTCCTTGGAAATGTGTAGAAGCATAAGGAAATACAAGAAGACAGCATCTCCTTAACTTTCTGAAGATACATTTTAACATTACCTATCTCAACCAGCAATTTTTCACTAATGAATTTTTCTCATTGTCACTTCGGTCTCTCTTGTATTTTTACTAATAGAGAGAAAAGGGGAAAAAAAAATAAACTCCTTTTTTTCCTGAGGGAAAAAGGAAACATTTGCAGGGTCCATCTTGACTATGCCTCTGATTATTAATAAACATGTCTGCAATGAGTTGGATGCCCTTCGATTTATAGTAGCATTTTAAAATGATCTTACAGTATGTGTAAGTGACACAATATTAATAAATGATATTTATAAATAAATTTCATTCTGAAATATTATCATTTCTTTCTTGAACAACTAGTTTAAGGTGAAACAAGTGAAAAAAATGTCATCTTACAAATTACATGTTATTGATTATTGTTGCTTCCAAAATCACTAAAATGACTTTCAACCATGAGTAAAAAATATTGTTACATATTTTTAAATAAGAATGACAAAAGTGGATCATACTTCTTATTTGCTTTCACATCATCATTATCACTCTCCACCATTGCCTTATCTCATACCTTAGAGAGAGATTGATGCAAGAGCAAATGATGGATCTTGTATACAAATACAAGATCCATACAAGAGGTGATAATGATATCTTAATTCAAAGTATGCATGGATATTGGGTATTACATTACTACCAGTATATTAAGGTACTCTGCTTAAAAAGTGGTATTGAAATATTTACCAGGAAATAAAATGAATCATTAACTGTACATTACTACATAACCTCTAGTTTAAAATTAAAGATTGATTTAAAATTCATTGTGTATATTGTTAATAGGTTTATTGTATAAATCAAATTATAATTTAATATGAGCTTTGGATAGTGCAAACATCTTTACAGCAAGATATATGTTACTATTGTTCCTAGAACTCACTTTGATATGGTCTTTTCTCATTTTCCACAATCATTGTGAGTTAGGAACCTGGAGACAAAACATCATTTCCCCAGGTTGAATAAAATTTTCTAGGTGCAGAATATAATGCTTCAGCTCTGTAGAACACCCAATGAAGTGAGAACATTATAGTAATACATTGTAAACAGTATTAAATATTGGAGATGAAAATCATTTTGTATGGTGATAAATTTTAAGCAACTCATACTGTTTAAATCCATTTTATTGCAGACATGTCATTTAAATATTTTATTTTTCTAGTAAAATTATGTTTTTGTTTATTCCAAGATACGTTTTATATCATGTTGTTGCTGACGAGCTTGTATTTTGCGACGTAATGTTAACAGTGTTGCAGGACTTGCTCCAGTTCCAGGACGAACATGTTTGCCTGTGAGAGGGCGAGCTTGCTTACGTCGAATGTCAGCATTTTCTTCTTCTTGAGTAGGAATGGCAGTTTTAGAAGCTGCAGCAGGATCTGCCTTCTGAAACATTTATACATGACATTATTTTCATGTTTTATTTTTTATTTTATACTGTTTTAAATGTTAAAAACAAATAAAAGAGTTCTAGAAATTATTGACTTTTATATTGTGGGAAAGTATCTGTAAAATTCTATATTTTGTTTCAACTTATATGATTTCATTTTTGGCCATTATCGTTCATAATTTTGAGCACAGAAATAGTTTCTAAGAAGCTATTGTTTTTATGAAGATATAATTTGTTAAGGTAAGAAGACTTCTCAATTCAGATTTAAATAATAACAATAAATATTTTATCTGACACTAAAACAAAATTCAAAAATTGCACATAGTTAAAACATTCATGAAGTTATTTATCTGGAAATTTCCTGTCAATTAAGTAATGATCTAGAAATGTGATTTTACAAATGACTGAATTACTGAAATTACAAATATACTGAAAAATGTATATATTCTGTCATTGGTGTAACATTTATTAACATATATATAATATTTTATAGCAGATGTTGATATTGGTATATTTTTTTAATGTTTTTTATGTGAGAGGTACTTGTGTTAATAAAGGAAATTAAATAAGGATTAGTGAAGATATGAGAACTAATTGTTTAGTTATTCAAATGAAGATGCAAAAGCATAAATAACATTGTATTGTTGATATCTGAGGTAAACATTTTTCAAATACATTATATCAATGTTCTTATTTCCCTTTGAAACTTGGGAAGACATCTTATTCTTCCAACTTTAAAAAAACGTCTCGAACGTCATCGAAGTGGCGGGCATCTCGTCCTATGAACACCCGCTCTTACGAATGGTATCATCGGACTTCGCCAATGAATCTAGAATCGACCGCAGAAACGCCGACTTTGCGGAAGTGCCAAGAAAGAACCGCTACGCAGAAGTATGCGGCCTCCCACAATAGTGCACAGTAAGCAGTGTGTGTAATGAATCAGCTCGGCGTTTGGGGAGTGCGCACGTGGTGTGCCTAACCCAAAAAGAAAAAGCTGGACCCTGGCGGTGCGAAGCTAACAGTAAGCGCGACGAGCAGCAAGCAGGGTCAACGCTCGAGGCAGGCGCGGGGCAGGCGTTCATCCCTCGGCTCGGCCGCGAGCGCCGCACCGCTCTGCGCGGCGGCCCACCGTCTGCCGCCGCGTTCCACTTACGCCGCGCCGCGCCGCCCGTTCCGAACCACCGAACGGTATTTAGCGGAACTTATTGCATGCGCAGATTCTCCACCATTCTGAAACCATGAAGCGCCTTTTCCTCCGCCCGAAACATAACCTCTGGGCATAATGTTTGGGACTACATTGAGGTTTACTTCATTTTTATGCGACAAAAAATATTTATAGTCGGAACAAATGAAAAGAGACATATTTCAAAAATTGTGGTTTGGCAAAGGAATGGTTTTATCTCGAGCGGAATCTTTTATTTCGCGGCCAAAGACACTCTTTTTACTCTACCGGCTGTCTAGTGAACTATCTTTCGGAAATTTAACTTGTAAAAATATACCATACTCTAAACACTTCACTTGCCTTATTAAAAATGACCATTCTTTGAGATGTATCACTAAGATACGGAGAGAAAAGCGATCAAGATATACATGCACAATGAAATCTTCATTTCAAAAATCTCTTGAAAAACTATTCAGAACGCATTGAAAAAGAATAAAAAATTCTATCTTCAAGAGTACAATTCTATCTTTTACTCGAATGTTTTGAGAAAGGTGTGATAAAAGTCATGTCGTTTGGACTGTCAATAAGTTGGCAATACAACTTTTGAGAACAGCTAGCATTTTCTTTCTTTAAAATTTTATTCGCACTTTCAAAACTAAAGAAACAAGAAACAATATAAAATATTTCAAGACATTTCAGTTGGGACTACATATACAATTTAGGGAATCTATGAAATCTCTATTATTGTGAATTTGAAATTCTAGGAAAAAAGAAACGGAATTATCATTTAAAATATTATATTGTTGATAACACTTTTCAGACGAAAATAATTTGCCACGACGCATAAAATCTATGCAAGGTGATATGAGGTACGCACAACCCGAATCAATCAAATCTGTGAGTTCAGTACTAGGAGGCAACTGAAAGTTTAGGTATCACGGAAAACTGCAAGAAATGCAACATTGAAGAACACACATCGTGCATGGAGGAAACATTTCTAGCAATGAAGTACATTTTAGGAGAAAACAGTACGCTTAGTAGAAGAATTAGCTAATAATATATTTTAACAAAGAAATAACGAAAAAGATAAATGTATTGCTTTATTTTCGTACAGGCCTAGGAATAAAATAATTACAAGTAAATTCGTTTTTGTGACTAAAACACCATTTCACTCACTTACTTTAAATTTTATGAGAACAAAATGTGTAAGATATATAATTTAAATTAATTGCAGAAATGTCTGTTCATAAATAATGTAGAGTTTTCAATAATTTGACAGTAAATACGAAAATATGAACGAATTATTAACTAGTACGATATTATACTATTAATGCAGACGTTAACATACAATACTAAGCAGTAAGCGTCGGAACGCTTTACAATTTTGCTTTGTGCTCAGTGTCGGACTTTCACCACTTCGAATAACTCGAAAATCTGTCATGAAAGAGCGTCACTATGTGTTTTAACACAATGCCACTACCAGAAGCCATCATGGAGAACTTAAAAATGGAGCAGTGCGAACACACATCGTGCGAAGTAATGTTTATTTATTGTTGGTGTGTTCTTATTCGTTGCCCTGTTTTGTGTCTTGTAGTCACGATTTGTCTTACGCGAAAACTACTTATATTTTGAAAAACCTGAATACAAAAAGATTTAAAGTTCTACAATTGAGGAATCAATTGCATTAAGAAACAAATCTCTAGCTTCAAGAGTGAAATTGTAAGACTGATGCAAAAATTTTAAGGTTTGCAATTTTCGATAAGTCAGTGGTTTTAGTGGAAATCGGACGTATATAATATTTATAAACGCACTCCGTCCTTTTCGAGAGTTCTTCAAGAGATAGTTGAAGAATTAGTAGGTCGCAAACTGCAATATTAATATCGTAACTATTACAAATTATTCGAGAAAGTATGTGCTGCTGTGTAAGCGATTCTTCCGAGATCACAATGTTATACCATTCATCATGGAATGATTTCATTGCACCATAGTGTATTGTATTTGATATGGTGTCAAAGGGAGCCCAAAAAGGGAACGATGAGCATGCATATCAAACTAGTAAGCAGCGATGTACTGAAGACATCTGACATGTGGAAAGGTATCACAGAATACGTGCTGAGCTAGCGTTATTAGAAGAGCTAACTGGCTAACTCGTATATACTAGGAGAAATTGTAAACTGTTAATCAGAAAAGAAACTAACTACTTTTTTTAAAATGAGAGTCTTTTTCAACAAATATTTAAAAAGAGGGATATAAAGGTAAGAACTAGGCCGTCCACACAGGGAGGGGGCAGCTGGGGCAACTTGCCCAAGTCTCAGACTTACTTGGATTCCCGAAGGGATTTTTTTATTCAAAACGTTTGAACAATGTATTTATTTTTTCCGATATAATATTGCTTGTTATTGCCTCCGATGCGGAACTCGATGTATACGGCATAACTTACCTGGATCGGGAGGATCACGGTTACGAGGGAAATATGAAAACAGTTGAATGATGACATGTTGTTTTATAGAGGGAATTATGAGTGGGCGTCTTGTTTTATCTGGGAGCCCCTGGGTCTTATAGTTAAACTACCGGTATATTTGAGCTTTGTATGGCAATTCTTCCATCGGCCTATGGAAGAGGAAATGTTTATGTTACACAAAATATATTCCAAAAGGAATTCATTGACCTTTATACACACACAACACTGTCTGAACGCTCAGCAAAGAAACTGCAAATGGAGAACATTTGCAAGAGTGCGATAATATTCCATTCTCACGCACTCTAAAGGGAAACAAACCTTTCTCACATTCTGACTAAAACTGATGTTCAGTGTGGGACAAACAGTGTAGTTAACACGAATGTATTATTGGGGATTCACACGGTCTGGGTTGAGAATTTTGAGGCTATATCCATTATTGGACGCACCATTTCCAAGAACCCCATAACATTACTTGCATTTCTTAGGGTACATACACACAGGACGTGACCCGACACGACACGGCAAGAACGGTTTCATGTATGGCTACGAGCACGAGCACTATCTCGTGCGTTCGTAAGAAAAGAAAGTACTCTAATCGTGCATAGTAACGACCTATTGAATTTTGCAATTTTCGACATAATCGCGATTCAACTGAAAACCAGTGTCCTGGCACAATTTTTCATGGCGAATACATTGGTGATAACCATATTTTCATTAAAAACTTTGTTTTCGAGAAATTCGCGGAAACATACGCCACAACCGTAATTATCAGCTAAAATGCTACGTAGGAAGTTGCATTTTAAGCAAGTTTCTTTACAACCAGAAAATCTGTATAATAATGAAGATAAAGGGTAATGTACATATAATATTTTGTGAAAATCTCAGCGCTCTATCTCCAAACGTTCAGGAGATAGAGCCAGTTAAAGTTGGCAATTTTTTTGAAAATTTCGAAATTCCTCAAAAACTGTCCGAACGCCCAGCAAAGAAACAGCAAATGGAGAACAAAGTAATTTGAAAATTTCGAAATTCCTCAAAAACACGCGTTTCAGAAAAACTGTTCTAGAAGGCACAATAATCGTCCGACCGCTGCTAAAAATGGCATTTTCTGAATCTACTTGAAATTTGAAAGCCGATGGAACCTTTATAATTATTATATTGCATAGTTTAAGAGATATGGGCGGATATTTTTTCCGTCCTTCTAAGCGTCCGTTTGTCCGTGGTCAATGCTAGTGCTTAAACCGTTCAGACACATTTATCCAAAATTGATATTCCCTGAAACTTTTGCAATTTTCGAAAAATCAGACTTGATTTTTTTGTTCTTCCTACAGTTATAATATTGAATATATAGATTTTTTTCCCGAATGAAATCTTTTGTTGAAAGACAGGCGTTTAAATAAAGTAATTAAAAAATCTTCCAAAATGAGTAGTTTTCGAGTAATTTTGTGAGAAATAAGCAGTTTTTCGTTTTGTAAAGATTTTTTTTCTAAAAAATGGCTTCAATTTTTTAAAAAATGTCTACTCGAATCTATCAAAAGACGGTAAAAAATTGGTGCACGTTTCATTTTTGGCAAACTCTCTGCATTTTCGAAAATTACAAAAAATTAACATTTGAATCTACAAAATTGAAAAGAGAGGATTTTCCCCCTAAACAAAATCTATTCTAGAATATCAACTCTTTAAAAACGTGATATAAACGTTGTTTGAAAGTAGTTTTCTTAAATTAATTTAATTTCTCTAATTAATGAAATGTATATAAAACTTTTTTTTAAACCGCTCCAATTTTTTCTTAATTTTTTTTATCATAGATAGAACAAGGTACCATTAAAAGAATGACGCAGGTCTAATTTTTGTAGAACTCTCTTAATTTTCGAAAATTTAAAATGTATAATTAATACGAGAAAGTGCGTGCTGTTCGAGCGCTAGTTGCAGTTGTAAGAAGACGACAAATTTTTTTGAACTTTCCAAGTTTTCGAAAATTCAAAGAATTAAACGAAAATTAGACCTGTGCTGTTTAAACTAGGAAAGAATCATCCTCTGATCTATTTATTTATTTACGTCAAAAACAGTTAAAACTGTGTGTGACGTGCTATGGGGAGACGTTAATTTGAAGTTACATTTATGTCCAGAAGCAAAACAAGGAGCCATTTCAGCCTTTGCTCGAGGATCAGGAAAACTGGACGAAAACCTGATCGAGATGAGGGTCATTGACCTAGAAGCTGAAGTACAATACTTGTTACATGTTCTTTAGAATTATACAATCCAAATGATATATAATACATTAAATGCCATTGTTAAAATTAATATTACTTTCGTTTTGGATGCTCGGTATAGTCTCTAATTGTATAGAAACAGTTGTGCAGCTGAAAGGATTTTACTTGGGATTAAACTTTTGTATTGAATTTAGTCGTTTAATGTCATCTGGCAAGGTGTTGTAAAATAATGTACATGTATTATATGTGATTTTTTTGTAGTGAGCTGTTGTTACTGTTTCCTGATGAATATGATTACTACGTCGAGTGTTGAAGTTATAGACAACGGCGTTTGATGAAAATATATTCTCGCCCTTAAGTAAGTCATTTTTGACAAAAAACACTGATTCATATATGAAGAGACAAGGTAATTGTAAAATACCTAGATTAATAAAGAGAGGCTTACAAGAATCACCTGGGTGAGATTTAATTATTATTCGTACAATTCGTTTTTGTAATCTAAAAGTCTGGGAATTATAAGATGTATTTCCCCAGACTATTATGCCATATCTCAGGCGGGAATGAACATTCGCGAAATACAAACGAGCAGTGTGTAGGCTGACTGAATTTGAAAGAATTCTGAAAGCGTAGCATAAAATAATTTAGTGTTCAATTAATTTAAACGGACGTTCCATTTAAGGTTTGACTGAATTGAAAGACCTAAAACTTTTGTTACTTTAACATCAGCCAATGGTTCATGTTCAGTGAAGTGCAGAGTTGTTCATTTGAAATGGAAAACTGCATTGAAACAGCATATTTTCATTTACTATTAATTTGTTATTACGGAACCAATTTGAAATATCTGCTATTGCGCTATTTACGGTTACTTTATTGCAAAGATAATTCGTATCCTCCTGAAAGGTAGAGCCATTTCAAGAAAATTTGAAATTTTTTTAAGGCGTCATGTAAAGCACCCCGTATTGTTAAGCCTTAAAAATTAGTTGTAGTGTAGTTATCTTAGTACTTACTACCATACGTGTACTCCACATTCAAAATAGAGACGATTAACTTTTCTTTCTGTAATGGCAACAATGATGCTGTTAGGCAAGAAGGATCATTGGAGACAATCAATGAACGAGGTAGTCTTCTTAAACGAAAACTAACCAAGAGAACTTACAACGTGAAAATAAAGTACGAAAGGAACTAGATCTGAAACTTACAAGAAGTTATTGAATGACCGACCGGAAATAATCCTTCTCTCTTCCCTATGGAATAGTCGCCTATAATGTAATATTAAAACCGGTACGGACCAATGGATTGCAAATCTGGGGAACAGTTAGCCATTAAAATCTAGTGGTGTTACAACATCCTATGCTTTTGAAGTGTTTTTAAAAAAATATTTCTAAAATACCTGTTTCCTAGGAATTATTGTGCATACGTTTATTAAAGATATAAGGTAGAGGTTTAGTTAACAGTGTAAAATTTTCTCTTAACTATCTGCGAGGAAATATGTATTGTTGTAAAGCAGGTAGAGTAGGATTGGTGGTTTTTTCTAAAATTGTCCTAATCTAAATTAACTGCATTTCATCTTCTAAGGTTTGCTGCAAACACGTAAGTGCAGATAATTTTATGATTAAGTAATAAAGTAGTATTTTGTGTTTTATTAATTTTAATTGATTTTTCTATGACGAAAGCAGACACATCGTCGAGAGTGTGATAGGGGTGTAACACCAGGGTATGTATTGGGCTCGGAAACGATTCAAGATTATTCGGTATCTGGAGCTCAACTCGGAGAATGAGAGAGTATTGTCATCAACTCAACACATCAGTGCTCAAGCAAGCTCAACAGTCCGATTTAGCATATCTGTCCTATTGCACTAAATATTTTTGCTTGTATTGGGGGTGATCCAATTAGTTGGCCTGGATAAAGCGTTGGTATAAATCTACCGGACGCTCGAGTTTCGGATGAAGATGGGATTAGGGCAATGAACTAGAACACCCGAGCTCGGGCTGTATTTCTGGCAGGCGACAGGCGTTTCAAGTTTTGAAACACATTCCTAAAGGGGTGATTTTCCCTTTGTTTTCAACCCCTTGAGTACTTCTTTGAGTGCTAGTTCTTAACAGACACCTACCAATAGGGAGGGGTCAACGACGGAATGGAACGTAGGATTTTACCATATTTTCGTTTAGGTAAGTTGTTGCTGTTTGATATTTTAAGGCTTCCTGTCTTAGGTAGTTTCGTCTTTCAACTCTCATCTGACGTTTACAAAAAACCGTCCGTCGTCATGTATAATCGCCCTGTAGAAACTCCGGCAATCTCGTACAGCCTCGCCTATCCATAAACACTTCGCTACTTAATTTTATTATCTGTCAATGCGCAATCACGGCAACAACGTGAATGTTGAACTAGTTCTTTAAGAGAGGACGTTGCTAAAAGTGTCTTTGTGGCAAGGACCGCAGGAATAGAAAATGTACAAAATATGTATGCCCAGCCATACCTCAAATAACGAAAATGTTTTAACACAAACTTGCAACAACAAAAAAGGTTACATTGCTAACTTAATGAGTTATTAGTTCTTAAATATGTACAATTTTCATTCAATTATTTTCAAATCTATTCTGGAGTTAGCCATTGACGCGCGCCTCATCAGGTGCTCCGGGTAGCAGCAGCCTCACCTGAGCGGCCTGTTCCTGCTGGTGCTGGAGCGCCAGCTGCCGCAGGAACTCCTGCGCCTGGAAGCGGTGCAGCAACTGAGATAGTACAAGGCCCACGGTCAGGGCCACGTTGTGCTTCGGGCAAGGCGCCCGGGGTTCAGTCGCGCCGGGGGCGCGCGGGCCGCGAGGCCGGGAGCAGGGCGCGCCCGCGGCGGTTCGGCGGCCTGCTGCGCTCGGGTGGCGGTGGCGGGGGAGCGCAGGCGCCAACACGAGCGGCTGCGCCGCAGAATCTTCGCCGGGCCGCCTCGAAGCTGCGCCGCGCCCGCTGCTGTGCCTTGCAGTTGCAGGCGCAGCTCGCGTGGGCGCGACTGCGAGGCGGTGCCCCCTCAGAGCGGGTGGCGGGCCGCTGGCCCGGGCGCGCGCAGGTGGCGCTGTCACCCGAGGCAGGTGCACCGCCGCGCCGCTGCCCTCGCCAACCGTCCGGCGTCCCGCCAACGCGGCCAGCGGCCGCCGCAGACGCGGCGATGCGCGACTCGGGCTCAGTCGACTTGCTGCGCTGCAGGCGGCAGCGGCAGAGGCGTCAGCCTGCGGGACGCTGCGCGCGCGCGTCCAGGCGCTGGCCAGCGCTCGCCCCCGCTTCCCGCCCTCGCTCCTCGGCCCTACGCCCCGCCCGCGCCCACTCGCTGTCGCCGCGTTGCGAGGCGCACGCGCTTGCGCGACACCTCCCCGTCCTCCTCGTCGTCCTCCTCGCCCTCTTTCTCGTCGTCCGCGTCCGACCCTTCGCCGGCCGATGCCACCGGCTGAGCCGGCTTCGAAATGTCCTCACCGCACTTGCTTCGAGCATCTTGGAAGAGTTTCAGGTCCGACTTGCCTTTGATCAAAGAAGCTAAGGTAATGTCGTGGCCCTTCACTTGCTTGTTGGCTTGCTGAGCTGTGTAACCGGCACGTAGGAGTTTGATAGGGATCAGTGGGGGCATAACCCGCAAAGGCTTGCGTGGGGTTCGGCTCAAGTCTATGGGCTGATCATCCCCCGACACCATATCCGGCACACCGTCGGACTCTGCGGCCATGGGCCTTAACTCATTGTTGTCTCCACCTGCGGAAAACAAGACAAGAAATATTATAAAAGACTACCAGTACACCAAACAATGATTACAGTTATTAATACCATCAACACTATGATAATAATCGGAAAGTTGCATATAGGCAATATGATTCGTTTGCGAATTTGCATAATGCATTTATTGTGTTCCTAAATTGGGACAACTCATTAAATATTAACCTCATAACAAAAAAAGGCAAATCATGATGTTATCTCAGACACAATTACATATTTTAAATAATAACAATTATTTCCCAAGAATATTGAAAATACCCATGGAAGAGAAAAAAATTCGTAGTGTTTGTAGCACTAAGTGCAGTAAAGTGCTCCGAAAAAGTAATTATTTATAAAACAAAATATATTTTGCGTATGTGGGGAAACGATAGTCAACTTTTGTATTCTCACGAACCTTACGCAACTAGAAAAAATATCAGAAGATAAGAATTGAAAAGTACACGTTACGAACGAAATGTTTTGACGTCTACAACAGCTCTTTATCAACTCCCCAAATTTGAACAAATAGGTATTACTGTGTATACCTGTTTGCATACATATGCCTCAAAATAAATGTTATAAACTTCTAGAGGATGAAGAGGGATCGAGAATGATCACTTTTCGCCAATGAGCACATAGTGAGAAATTTCATATGAAATTTCCCATTACATGCGCATTGGCAAAAAGGTATAATTTTCGACCTCTCTACGTGTATACAATTTGTAACACTTATCCTGAGTCACTGTATAAAATGAATGCAAAAAGTAAATAGTAGTGTAGTGTAATGAAACATACTACAAAAAACATGCTATGAAGCAGAGTAATATTGTAACCAGTAACAGCAATTCAAACGTGTTGCCCATGTCCACTCAGAAAGTATAGTTTCCTCAAAATGCTTAACTGGATGCTCAAATGCAATTCATTGCAAGAATGTGCTGAATACCTGTTACAAGCTCTGCATACTTATTACATTGGACAAAGAAAATTTATTATACAATTCCCGATTGTGATGTTGGAAATTGTATTTAATATTATTTAACATCTCGATGGTGTTCTAAAGGAATTTTATTATGAAACAATAAATTAATAATGAAAATATGATTCATGCAATTCCTTGCAGAACACAAAATATACGTATATGTCGCAGAATATGTTACAAACTTAAAGGGATGTAGAGGTAGATACCGTGTTATGAAGTTACACACGTGGCAGTTATCCCTGGTGGTTCGAAAAAATCGTATGCATTGGTGCTAGGCAGGTCACATTCTGACGCAGTCCAAAAGTATTTGTTTACCAGCAAAACAGCAGAGCTTGAGGAGTTGCCTAACAACCAGGAGCAAATGTAATGCAACTGAAATAAAATTTCGCCAATGGAATTTGCAACGCAAGTGAAATTTCCCACCACTTGTTCATTGGTAAAACGAGATCATTAAACTGCGGATTTTTGCCTATTTGCATCTTCTTGTATTTATGGATAAATACAATAATTCTCAATAAAGAATAATCCAGTATATGTTTTCGTTTTTATCAGTTTCAATAACTGATCAACTACTTCCTCCCTACATGCCTCAGAAGTTTGTAATAGTTATTCGATGACACCCGAATTTTACAATTATACCGATGAATGACTGAGGAATATAATATTTTTACACATTTTTTTATATCGACATGAGCATTAATACATACAACGCTAGAACAAGAGTGGAATTTTAATTTATATTTTGATTCCGGTGTCTAACATTTCTACGTAATGATAAGTTCAAAATTTGACTTATGTGTTAGCACAATTTTTCTAAATGCGGTTGGGTATGTAAGTAAATTTCCGCAAAAATCTATAAAGAACAACATCTAAGTCACTTTCATCCACTTTGAAGAATATTTCAATTTTCTACAAGCATTAGATTCATTTTATTATTATGATTATTATTAATTAATTTTATGATTATTGTTATTATTTCTATTATTCATTTGAATATTCACTTTTATAAAAAAGTAATGATAAGTAAATTTCTTTACTGCTTTATACGTTGTAAATTCGAATGGCATGTACTTGAACACCAGAAATGACTTCACCTTTTGCACTTTCTCTCGGGACGTATTGTATTGTGATATGTATTATGCAATATATATGCTTTCACCGTTTGTCACCTAGGTATCTTTGCATTAAGAAAAGTACCTTATGTGAACAGTTCTCAGATCTCATTTTCCTCTTCTGCTCCAAAGAAGCGTGCGTTCCGCCTCCCGAGTCCCTACTGCCGTTTGATAGTATAAGTCATTTGTTAATCTATCTTGAATGAGAAACGTTTCACTATGAAGCAAAATTTAAATTCAATGATTGTGTATTTCTTAAACAGAAATCTCGCTCGAATTCTCTAGAATCTGCTTATTTGCATAACCTTACAATATATATTAACGTACGTCCTTAAAACTGCATCGATAATCTCCCATAATTCCTGCCATTCTGATTAACTTCTTTAATCTTACGTCATTGAATTTAACCAAGTCACCCTTAATTTTATTTTATTTCACTCAATGAAGAACAGTTAAATATGTGGCGTAAGTAGGAAAATTCTTCCCCGAATACTATTTTTTTTATTTCCTCCTAGAACATCATGCCTTTCATTCTAAATTACTTTCCCTATTTACACGAAAACCCACCCTTCTAGGCCAATAGGGATGGAGCATCTGTAGACCTTCCGTTTATAAATAATATATTTTGCGTTCCATTTAATGAAGGAGAAATCGCGAGTGCATTCTCGTGGGGCTCTCCGAAGGGATGCCACTAAGTATTTGGCACAAGAGAATTATTTATTTAAAATTATCTTTTTGATTTGTAGGTTCAGTTAGCGTAAATCGTTTTATTCAAGATATTTTAAGTAGTCATAAATTGATTAACTACTATGGTTTATTTATAGGACTGTGCAATGTGGTAGACCGTAATAGCCAAAGCGCCCTATTGTTACATTTACATTGAATTATCAATAAATATCCTTTGCGTAATAAAATGCTCACTTTCAGAATGTTCTCAGATCATTCCGACTTCTTTGATCCTCAACGTCTTTATTGAAATGTTAGACAGCGCTCCGTTAAATGCGGGACATTGTCTTAAAACAATGAGACGAACGTTAAATTGTCCGATGTTGGCATGCTCTGATAAGTCTGTATAGTTCATAAATCATTAGTATCAGCACGCAGTGCCCCGGCGGGAGCGCGCGCGCTTTACGAGCGCGCGTGAACGAACCGCTCTCCGAAGGGGCGTCCGAGGCTTCGCGTGAGTAGTAGATAGTCCTCCGGTCGTCTCCGCTCGCACCGGAAGCTGGTTAACGATCGCGCGTGGCCGCGGAGGCTCGCAGGGGAACGTCGCGGCCCTCGCCGAACGCGAGCTCAACGCTGTGTGCGGGCGTTGGCAGGCGCGAGTTGCGAGGGTCAGTTCAGGGCGACGCGGCGCGCACGTTGGGCGCGGGACGGGCCGCCGCCGACGCCACCGCCACCTTCGCCTCTACCTCCGTCTCCGTCTCCGTGTCCGTCTCCGCCTCCGCCTCCGCCTCCGCCTCCGTCGCCGCCGCCGCTCAGTGCCGTGGGGTCCGGGCGTTCCCCTTTCGCGCCACGCTGTCGCCAGGTGGCGCTCGGACGTGCGGGCGGCGTGCCGCGGTCTCTGCGCACCTGCGCGATCGCAGAATCTAAAGGCTCGCTCACTTCCACAATGCAACTTCGACGTAAATGCATCAGCTTGGGGCCGCTTTATTCACTGCAACCATTCACATCGGTGAATGCAAACGTAAATGTGAACTAAAGACATAACCGTGAAAGTTCACGAGCTCGAAGCTTCACGTTAACGTGATCGGAAACAACGCACTTCCTATCGTGTACTTGCATTATCTAAAGAACTTGTAGTATTTTCTTTTGACAGAAATTAATGCAGTTTGTAAGAGCATAAATTGCTTCTCATCATCATCAACATCATCATTGCTCGGGAAACGCTCCATAGAATAATGGTATCTCTCATGGTCTACGAAATAATTATCATCCCGTCCCGATCGCGTCCGTTTTGTTTCATGTTGTTCGATTGTAAATATCTCCGCGATTTCGACTATCTGCGCCGAGTATTTATTGCATTAATATCGGTTAGTGTTTATCTTAAAGCTCATGCCTCACGGTCACGGTACGTAATGGTACATGTTTATGTTAAAAGCATGTGTTTATAATCCCACATGTACGTTAACGTGTTCATTGTGAATACCCTTCTAAGTTGTCTACACACGTTAGAGATACGTGACAGGTATATACGTTCTGTTTTACCAGTTCGGGCATACACGATCGTCTGGGGCCACAACCTTGCAACTCTTAGGTACGGTTCTCACGAACGAAACCCGACGGCTGCTGAAAACGTCACAAACGAACCCTTTTTCGGGTACACTTTTTTTTAAGCCTCTACGCATCATGTAGTGACTCGGCCTCGACTGAGCAAAGGCCAGCAATGGAGGGAGCGGGAGGGGTGAGACATTTGCAGTCTCAAAAAGCTGAAACACACTCAAGATCGGAATTGGATGTGACAGTTTTACCCGTCCGTGTTAACGAGTCTCGTGATTAACCGAAACTCGTAGGCATCCACAGCCCACAATTTTTGTCATTCTATAGAGAATCAAGAGCTATCAAGAGAGAAATCAATATCTTAATGAAATGTGAAATAACATTTTTCTCTTCAATATAAATATATTTGGGTCATCTCCTTGACCACTGTTTTATGGTCATTCTGGTTACTTCTCTCTCCCCTTCTTCCAAAGGGGGTATCTGTTTGGAGGAGAGATTAGGTAACAAGAACGATTTTAAGGCCGTCTTTCAGTGTTATGAATTACCAATAAATTTATGCGTTCTACAAGATAGATATTTATTTGGTTAGTGAAATATTATGGGAAAGTCACAATAACCAACCCAAATTATGGGTTGTTCCAATCGAATGGAGATTTTTAATGATAAGTTATAAAATCGAATGAGGAAAC